CTGACACAGAGCGGCGTGCCCGTCGTGCCATCAAGCAGGCGGCGGGACACAGCTCTCCGCGCCCAGCCACAGCGCGCCGCCCGCCTCACCCGGTGCTGCTCGCGGCGCACGGCGGCGGCCATGGGACCGAACCAGCGCAGCAGCATCTGGCGCGCCTCGGGCAGCGCCGCCGCCTGGCCGCGCGCGATGGCGCTCAGGGCCTCCTTCTGGTACCGCGCCCGCGTCGCCTCCAGCGCTTTCGTCTCCAGGATGATCTGGCGCTGCCAGTTGCGGCGCAGCTCCCGCCCCGCCGGCGTGTCGTCCATGTGGCGCTGGTGCCAGGTCATGGCCCGCAGGGCCGTGGACATGCCGCCGCCGCGCTCGCCGCCCAGCGCGCCCGCCGCCAGCTGCGCCTGCTGCTGCGCCAGCACGTCGGTCAGGCCCAGGAAGGAAGACAGGCGGGCGCGGTTGTGGTGGTCCTCGCGCTCCCCGTGCCTGGGTGAGCCGGGCGCGTGCGCCACAGGCCCCAGGCGCCCCGCGGCGACGTCGTAGCGGGCCACCGTGGCGGCGGCGGCAGTGGCCGCCGCCTCGCCGGCGGCGGCCCCGACCTCCACAGCCTGGGGCGCCGCCTCGGCCGTGAATGCCCGGAGATACCCCGGTGGCCCGCGGGCGGCGGGCGAGGGCCCCTCGAGCGCCCTCAGGGCCCTCAGCAATCGTTGCATGCCGGCAAGTTGCGGCTCCATGTTGCTGGCCCGCCTCCAAACGCTGCCACCCGGCGCCAGGGCCTGCCAATTGGACGGGGTTGGGAAGCAGGAAGACGGAAGGAGCCTCGGAGGTACAGTGGACGTACCGCGCCGCCGCCGCCGCCGCCGCCGGCCGCCGAACCGATGCATGCAGAGGCCAGGCCAGGCTAAGGGGTCTGCCAAACTAACTAGCACCGCCACAGGCCCCACTCATAGCCTGGTCAGTGGTCCATGATTCGACAGAAGCGCACACTGTGAAGTCGAGCGACACCGAGCCGGCAACGTGCGGCAAACCAGCTGGAGGCAGCAGCGGCGCCGCGTGACGTTCATAAACATGCAACAGTAGTACTGACGCAGGAGAGCGATCAGTCAATGCGCCTGCCCTCACTTTTGTCTCCCAAAGTGGGGCCTTGCACGTCGTCAGGGTGGGTCCCGCCTCCGAGCTGCAGCGGGCTGCTCCACCTGTCGCAGCTGCCCCGCTCTGTGCTGCGTAATGCGATTATGCCATGCGAATCCAGGAGAACTGGGGCTCTGCAAGGGCCAATTCAGCCTGTGTCCTGCTGTGTTTCTTATTGCCAGTGCGGAACTTCGCTGCCTGCGCGCATTGCCCTGCTGGTTTGCTTTTGTTTCACGTGTTTTTTCGTTCCCAGGCCTATTGTGTTTGTCTGAGTGTGTTGTGAGTCTTCCCGCGGCCTCTGGCAACGGAAAGCTTCTCGCAACAGGCCCGGGACGTGCCTGGAACGGGCTTTGTGGCCTGCAGCGTGTGAAGCACCCGCCCGTGAAGTCCCTGGCGGGCTATAGGCAAAGGGGCGGCAGCCAAGCAGGAGATGGCGGCAGGACATTTGGGCGCAGGAGGCTTTCTGGATCTGCTGGGAGGCTCAGAGTTCCTAGGTACGCTCCCAGCAGCGTTTGTGACCGGACTGGGGGTTTGGGGCGGCCATGCGGAGCAGCCCCACATCATTTGTCATCTTCGGCCCAGCCTGCGAAAGCGCCAGCAGCAGGCTTCGGGTGCTGCTGCTCGCGCTCTCGTTCGTCTGATTCAGGTTTGGGGATTCAGCCAAACACCTTAGCTCCTGCCCCAATGTTGCCGCCACCATTGTTGCCGCCGTTGCCGCCGTCGCCGTTCCGTCGCCCACCCTTCGCTGCGTCCCCCTCCTCTCCCCGCCTGCAGGCAGCCTGGGCCCTGCCGCTGCCGCACCCAGCCACAGGCAGCAGCACCCCTCGGCGGCCAGCGCGACGCGGCGCAGCCTGGAGGAGGCGCGTGCGGCGCAGCACGCGGCGCAGCACGCGGCGCAGCTCAGCGGCATGGACGTGGCGATGCTTGAGGAGCTGCTGCCGCTCAGCGAGCTGCACGACCCCTTCCTGGAGGCCGACTGGCCCCAGGAGCTGCCAGCCGCGGCAGCGCAGCCCGACGGCTGCGCAGCCGCACCCGCGCAGCAGCAGCAGCAGCAGCAGCAGAGGTTGAGCAGCGCCGTGCACCCCGCCGCCCCGCTCCTCTTCTCCGGCATCCCCGCCTACGCTGAGCCAGACATCCCCGCGGCGGCGGCGGCCCGGATGAACAACTCTGCCGGCCTGAGCATGGGGTATGGCCTGGGAGAGGGGCTCGCGGCGCTGCCTGGCTCGCCGCACCCGTCGTCAGGCCTGCCGATGCACCCGCAGGGCCTCGCCAGCATGGCCGCCGCCGCGTTCTGTACGCAGCCCGCGTTTGCGGCGCCGCCGGCGGCACAGGGAGTTGGCGGCGGCCTGCCGCCCGCCATTGCTGCCGCGCAGCAGCGGGCCGCGGCCAAGATGCAGGTGGGCAATGGCAGCAGCGGCGGCAACAGCCACATCAGCAACAGCAGCAGCGGGGCCGACCCGGCGGCTGCGGCTGCGCCGCCGCCGCTGGGAGCGCCGCCGCGCCAGTGCGCGCAGCCTCCATCCGACGACAGCTCCGGCGAGCAGCTGGAAGGTGAGCGCGCTGCTGGGTTGCTGCACGGCATGTGGTTGGCGCTGCTTGCTGAAGTGAGCTTTGCTGTTGACCCCACATGGGTTGCGGCGCCGCTGCTTCCTGTCCTCCACCCCAGCCCTGCCCGCTCCCCTCCCTGCAGACGAGCACCTGGAGGATGCGTCAGGCACGCCCAGCCACTCGGCAGCAGCAGCGGCTTCAGCAGACCCAGCCTTGGCCGGCGCGTCGGCCACTGCCGCCGCCGCGGGCGCCTCCTCTGGCGTGCCCTTCAGCGCCGGCGAGGGCGGCAAGCAGCCCGCCAAGCGCGGCGGGCGGCCGCGCGAGAAGAAGAGCTACGACGCCCTCATCGACCCCAGCCTGCCCATCGAGGAGATCCGGCGCCTGCGGCGCACTCTGAGCAACCGCGAGTCGGCGCGGCGGTCGCGGCGGCGGCGCCAGACCCAGGTGTCGTCGCTAGAGACGGAGCTGGAGGCTCTCAAGACGGGTGGGGGCCCCGCCGCCGCGCCCCTGCCCTGGCCCGCGCGCCAGCAGCTGTGCAGGGGTGTGCAGGGCGTGCACCGCGGCTGGGCTGCGGGCGGGATGCGGCGCTGCAGGCGGCGGCAGGCGGTGGCGGGCTGGGGTGTGGGGCCGACGCCCGGCGAGCGGGCCCGACTGGCGGGAGGAGCGCGCAGGGTTGCTGCGCCCTGGCGCCGCCGTGCCTGACCGTGCCCCGTTTGGCCTCCCACGCCCGCCCGCGCTGCCTGCCTGCCTGCAGACAATGAGCGGCTCGAGTTTGAGCTGAGCCAGACCTCCTCTGCTGCCCACCAGCTGGCGGCCGAGAAGGCGGCGCTGCTGGCGGAGGTGGAGCGCCTGCGGGTGCAGCTGGCGCAGGTGGGGACAGCGTCTGCCTGCTTGCTTGACAGCCTCGCCTGCAGCTGCCAGCACCAGCCGCACAGCAGCAACGGCTGCTGACCTGTGCTTGCCGCTTGCTGCTGCAGGTCTCGACCTGTGGCGCCCCGCCGCTTGCGCAGCACATGCCGGCTTCCGCCCCCATGCCTGTCGCGGCTCAGCAGCCCACGCCTGTGTCCCTGCACATGGCGGCGCCAGCCCCCAGCCCCGTCACGCTGCAGCCTGCGATGCAGCAGGCGATGCATCGCGCCTCGGCGGCGCATGCTGCCGGCCTGCCGCCAGCCATTGAGCAGGCGCAGCGGCTGGCACACAAGCTGCTGTAGTCGTGCTGGGCGCCCACACGGCTCCTTGCCCCAGTGGCCTCGGTGCCCCACCACAGCCACCCTCATGCATGCAACACCGGCAAACACCCCTTGCCAGCCCATATGCGGCCTTTGGCGCACTGGCCGCCTCTTGTTAACAGCATCCATTAGTTAAACCCTACTTCCTCGCCTCGCTTGCCTACTCACTCCCGCCTCCTACTGCTCCCAACATCGCTGCCATACCTGCCTACTCCGCACCCCCAATTTTGACAGGGTTCCCTGTGCAAAATGTTTGCTCCCCTGTTTGTGACGCTTCGCCTGAATGGCCTAGCGCCTGCCTGCCCAACCCTCTCTGTTGCCTCCCTACTTGTGCTCCAGATGCCTGCCCAAGTTTTGTGGTTCCTTGTAGCTCTCCTCATACCCAGATTTTCTCTCCACCCTATTTTTTCCTACACCTACCCATGGGCATGGAAGCCTGACCTGCTCAATTTTCACCCAAAGGTTTTTCAACAAATGTTTTACCGTGGTAGGCGCTGCAGACGCCCCCACTTTTCATGGTGCCCCATCTTGGTGGTGGTGCATGGTGCCCCGCCTACGGAAGGCGTCAGCAAGGGTTCCTGCACTGTTCTATTTCATGCAAATGCCTCCTTTGAACGCTATGAATGCTTCCTCTCCCTTGACGAATTGTAATGCTCGATTGCATGTGCTCGACAGGGTGCAACATTGGACCACCCCCAGAGCGCACGCCGCCTGCGCTTCGCCGCCGCCAGCCTGGCAGGTGAAGCCTGCAGTGTTTGAACACCGCAGATCGGCGATCCAGCAATCGCCGAGCACGTCAGCGTCTGCTGCCAACCCTGCGTGACTCACTCACCCGCCGACGCGTTTTTTTGGGTTGGACCCACGCCCAGCACCAGGCGGCCCACGGCATGTCGCTGTTAATACGGCTACCCCGATAGCTGTGCACTCGCCCCCTCCGCTTGCCCACCGCCAGGGCCCTCACGCGGATCGCTTGCCCTGGTTGTAGAGCAAGCCTTTGGCGCTCGAGCACTCCTGCAGCATGCAGGGATCGCCGGCAGCGACCCCTGCAAGCGCCACGGCGCAGCTGGAACAGCTGCGGTCGGCGGCGGCAGCACTGGCGGCTTGCACCGCCGTGTCGCCGTCGCCCGCCTCGCCAGGCGCGGCGCCAGCAGGGCAGCAGGCTGCAGAGGCCGACTGGGAGGGCCGCCTGGCGGCGGTCAACGCCGCCATCGGGGCGGCGCTGCGGCCGGGCAGCGCGGGGTCGCCGCGGGCGGGCGGCAGCCGCGGCCTGGCGCCACACCAGGCGGAGCTTGTCGAGGCGATCAACAGCTGCGCCGGCAACTGCGTCACCTTCCTGCCCATGGGTGCGCTCGCCAGCGCCGCGCGCGGAGCAGCTTGGCGCAGGCGTCGCTCTGTGCGGGGCGCGCCAGGCTGCCCTGCCTCGGCCCAGCCCCTCGCCCGACGACGTTTCGCCAACGGCGGTTCGTCCTGTGTGCAGCTGCGCGCCTGCCGCGCCCTGCTGTCAGTCACCCTGCGCCCCTCCCCCCCGCGGCTGCCTGCAGGCCTGGGCCTGCGCGCCGTCACGGGTGCCGTGCTGAGCCACGCGGCGGCGCGGCACCCCGACCGACACGTGGTGGTGGTGGTGGACCGCCCGGCGCAGGCGCTGTCGCACGCGCAGGTGCGGCGCGGCAGTACGCTGGGGCCTGGGCGGCAGTACGCTTCACCCCGCGCAGACTCTGAGGCGGCCGCCTCGCTGGGGGGCGCATGCCGCTCGCCGTCCCTGCCGCGCCGCCCTGTGGCGCCGCCACGTGCCGTGGACGTCGTGCCGCGCGAAGCGCGGGCCCCACACCTGCCGCCGCCGCCTGCCGCCGCCCGCCCGCCTGCAGCGCCTGCGCGCCGAGCTGGGCCTGCCCACCGCCGTCTTCTGCGGCGGCGACTTCCTGTACTCCTTCCCGCAGCAGTTCCAGTCCAGGTGCCCACTGCTGGGTGTGTGTGTGTGTGTGCTGTGTGTCTCTGGCTGCATGTGTTGGAGCAGTGGGCAGGCAGCGGGGCGCTCCTGGCGCGGCGGGGCAGGCCCTGGGCTGATGCTGCGCCGCGCCGGCGAGCCGGCGCTGCCCGCCCGCCTCCCCCTCCTCAACGCACGCGCCCGCCGGCCCGCGCGCACACCCCTGCCCGCCCGCAGCCGCGTGCTGGTGTTCACCGCCGGCCTGCTGCTGCGCCTGCTGAAGACGGGGGTGTACCGCCTGGAGCAGGCCAGTATGATGCTGCTGGTGGATGCCTTCACGGGTGAGAGCGAGAGCGAGAGTGAAGAGTGCGCCGTGGGCCGCCCGGCTCGGGGCTGCAGCCCACGCCCGGCGCGGCACCACCACCAGCACCAGCACTGCACACCGTTGCCATCGCAGCACCGGCGCCGTCGCGCCATGTTCCCGCCGCTGCTGCCCGTGCCCATTCACCTGCCCCTCTGCATCTCCGAGCCTCCCGCCACTCCACCCTGCCCTGCGGCCTCCCCACCCCTGCCCCCCGCCCACCCCGCCCACACATTGCAGTGGTGCGCAACCACCCCTCCAACACGCTTGTGCGCGAGTATTGGAAAGTGGCGGAGGAGGGGCGGCGGCCGCGCGTGCTGGGCGTGCTGGCCAGCCAGCTGCCCGCCAAGCCGCGCCCCTTTGACCGCCTGCGCCAGAACCTGCGCAAGCTGTGCCACAGCCTGCAGGCGCGGCTGCTGCTGCCGGGCGGCGCGGGGCTGGCCCGCCTGGAGGCGCAGCTGCATCACGACCGCATACAGCTGCACTCGTACGCGCTGTCGCCGCCAGAGGAGCGGCTGGCCAGCCTGCTGCAGCAGCACCTGCTGGGCCTGTGGGACGTGCTGCACGAGTTTGGGCTCAACCACTTTGGCAGGCTGGTGCAGTTCTCGTCGACGGCGGGGCCGGGCGGCGGCGGCGCGGCGGGCACGCCGCCCGCTCCGGGCTCAGACCCGCAGGCGCTGCATGGGCTGGGCGGCGGCGTGGGGACCCCCACCCCGCCCCGCCCGCTGGCCGCCGCCAGCCCGCTGTCTGGCGCGGGCAGCCCTGCCGCGGAGGGCAGCCCCGCCACGCCGCTGCACGGCACGCCGCCGGCGGCGGGCCACCACGTCGGCGGCAACTCTGCTGCTGCTGCGGCGGCGGAGCAGCCCGACCCCATGCAGCACGACTGGGCGCAGGTGGAGCTGCAGGTGTGTGCGGCTTTGGGTGGCTGCATGTGTGTGGTGTGGTGTGGCAGCATGGTTGTTGCGAGGGGTGGCAGGGAGGGCCGGCGCAGAGGCCGAGGCGGGTGGGTGCCCCTGGGCTGTGCCGGCGCGGGCGCCCCCCCCCCCAACCCCCCCGCGACCCCCCCCCCG